CCTTAAACCCTAAACCCTAAACCCTGAACCCTAAGCCCTAGGCCCCAAACCCCAAGCCCCAAACCCCAAACCCCAAACCTTAAACCCTAAACCCTAAACCCTGAACCCTAAGCCCTAGGCCCCAAACCCCAAGCCCCAAACCCCAAACCCCAAACCCTAAACCCTAAACCCTAAACCCTAAAAAGACCATGGAAGCCTCCGGAAGGCCAATCGCTTTGGCATGATTCTCGATGTTCTTCTGGATGTTCCTTGCGCGGAGCCAACTTGGGTTTAGGGTTTAGGGTTTAGGGTTTAGGGTTTAGGGTTTAGGGTTTAGGGTTTAGGCACTAATGTGGGGGCCGTAACAATTAGAATAGGGTCTTAGGGTCCTGTATAGTGCAGTCTAATCATAAATAAGGAGCCCCCAAAACAGTATTGGTAACTATTTAGGCCCCTGTATTAACTACTTTGCCTGGCAGTGCCCTTAGAAGACCCATGCTAGGGTCTATAGTCAGGGACCCAGCAAACAAAAACAGATTTGAAGTCGGATCGCGGCTCCGGTACTTGGAAGCCCATGGCTCAAGATTTCTCACCAGACTTGGCTGTCTCTGCCTCAACCCAACCCTAAATCCTAGCAGGTCCTAGCATTGCAGGGGTGCGGGCGTGAGGAGTGGCATTGCTCTTCTCTGCTTCTGGCTTGCATGACGGCTCCCTGCAGCCCTAAACCCTGAACCCTAAACCCCCAAGCACTTTCTTAAACGTGCAGTTCTTTACCTATTGAGCGTCTTCTGGTGTCTCGCCAGAGCTCAGATGTCAGGAAAGCCAAACCATCTCGAAAAGACGCTTGCACGTTTGAAAGCAAATGCAGCTACTTGTTGTTCCATATCGGTGTAGGAAAGGCTGTTGCGCGGTAATTAGGGCATTCAAGCCCATTGGAAACAACAACCCCTGCACCCTGTGCCTGAAGGCTGAATAATCGGGTTCCTGAAAAATACTTGTGTAAAACAAAAACCTGGAACCTATTTTGATTTTTGGTGGCGTCCTAGAATATTACAGGCTGGCTGGCTGGCTGGCTGGCTGGCTGGGTGGGTGGCCGGCTGGTTGCGTGGTTAGCTGGTTGGTAGGGGTTGGGTGGTTGGGCGGAGGGTGGGAAGGAGGGAGGGAGGGTGGGTGGGTTTAGGGTTTAGGGTTTAGGGTTTAGGGTTTAGGGTTTAGGGTTTAGGGGTGGGTGTTTGGTGGGTTGGTCGGTTGGTTTCAAGACACTTGTGTGTCATCTCTGGGCACAGAGATGTGGTAACTATCGACTCAGAAAGGCCTTAAGGGTTTTGGTGGTACATTGTCGAAACTGATATGAAGACTATAACGGGGTACCATGGCTAACTGTTACGACCTGCTTCACTCCGACTCCTAAACCCCTAAACCCTAAACCCCTAAAGCCCTGAACCCTAAACCCCTAAACCCCTAAACCCCTAAACCCCTAAACGCTTAACCCCTAAACCCTAAGCTCGAAACCTGAAGCCCTGCAGCTCTTGTCGTACGATTCTGGAGCAGTCCTGCTAAGTCCAATGTACTGGAGCCTGTCGCCCGTGTCGTACACGGCGTAAACACCCATCTCCTCTGGGTTCGGGGTTTAGAGCTTTGGAGTTCAGGGTTTAGGGGTTTGGAGATTAGGGTTTACAGGTTTGGAGTTTAGGGTTTAGGGGATTAGGGGTTTAGGGGTTTAGGGTTTAGGGTTTAGGGTTTAGGGTTTCAGGGTTTCTGGGTTGATAGGCTAGTTCAGGGTCATAGGATTTGGGTGTTGGGGCCGCTTCCACGCCGAGGCTGTGGGATCTCGTTCTTCAGAGCTGGGCTTTCTTGCCTAAAGACGGGGGCGGTCTCAACACGTAGATTAGGGTCTTGGGATATGTCAGGGTGTATATATGTGAAGGACCCCAGAGGAGTGATAAGAGTATTTACGCTCCTGTATTTGAAGACCTCTTGGTGCCGATCTCTGCCAAAGGGAACCGAACATAACGTATATAAAGAGGGCCTTGGGCAGTTTGCACCGAAGCCCCCAACATCCCAAACCCATGCCTAAATTATCCTAAAGCCGAAACTGAGGGGCTGGGTACCCAAGCCCAGAAAAGGTTAACCTTTTCAATTATAGTAGGATTGTATAAAGCCCAAATGGTTAAAGGTTACCTACTCAGCCCCTAAGGCAAAGCTGAACCCGACGTCTTGAACCCGAAACCATTACTTGAACGACCTGCAGCAGTTTAGGGTCCTCAGGCAGTGCCGACACATCTGGCTCGCCCGACAGCACGTCCACTCCGGTCACGAAAACAGGGGCCTCCGGGAGTTCTCGAAGCTCTGGCTGAAACTTTAGGGTTTAGGGTCTAGGGTTTAAGGGTTTAGGGTTTAGGGGTTCCGGGGGTTCCTCGTCATAGCTATAGTATAGTATACCCCAAAACCTACTCTAATCATTCAGGCCCCTACATCACCCTTTAGGGTTTACAGAGTCTTGAGTTTCTGGCTAAGTGAGTGTTATGATGAATGATCCGACTCCCCAACCATGAGTCGAAGTTCAAGGGGGTTCCGCAAAAACTATACAGCCCTGAACCCCACAAACGACTGCAACGATGAACATCTGAGCTACTTCACTTCCGATGCGGGCTACATTCCCCAAGTTGTGTTCGGTCTTTGTGCAATCTTGTACTTCTGACATATGTACTCTAAAGCGGGCTTCGGGTTTAGGCTTCAGGGCTTCTGCTTTAAAGCAAGAGACTAGCCCCCGGGCCCCGAGACCCCCAAACCCGAGAACAGCCGAAGCCCGGAGTCGCGTCCTCTGACTTCGGCTAATATAGGGGCCTCAATAACTAACGGTTTAGGGTTTAGGGTTTAGGGTTTAGGGTTTAGGGTTTAGGGATTAGAATAGGTTTTGGGGTATAATGTACTAGAATAATAACAAGCTCCCCCCCCCCAAAAAAATAGTATAGGTAATTATGTAGGCCCCTATATTACATGGGCCTTGCAAGCTGCTTTCTCAACTCCCAGACCTGAAACTCGAAGGACCAGTAAGCAAGGGACTGAAGGTAAGCACGGACCTTCCGCAATTTAGGGTTTAGGGTAGTTAGGGTTGATGGATGGTTTATGAGGTTTAGGGTCTAGGGCTTCTAAAGTTTATAGGGTTTAGGGTTCATAAGGTTTAAGGTTTCGGGTTTAAGGTTTATAAAGTTTATAGGGTTTGGGGTTTAGGGTTTATCAAGTTTATAGGGTTTAGGGCCTTAGGGTTTAGGAGCTTAGGGTGACAAGGCTGGGCGGATGCAGCTGTTAGGCGACCACTATAGAAAGTCACGTCTGGCCTCACTCAAACAGTACGCTACCCGCCCAAGGCGATCTCGAGAAGTCACACAGGCCAGTCATGTGGGAGCCTGAATGATCAGTGCATAGTCCGAATAGGGTTTGGGGGCAGATTGGAGTAGGTACCCCGTCGACAGTAGCCAGAACCTATAGACCCAACAGCTGCGGTTCTGATTTTTTTTGACATGACAGTGCCAAAGCAACTAACTAACGACAAAAACCTCGGCAAGGACCTGTAAATCGGCACAGGTACGCAAAGCTATGCGCAGCCTGCCTGATGCTACCTCTCCTGCAACGGACTCTAGCATTCGCAACATACATCTCATGGGCTCCTAGCAACGAAAACTGCAGCTAGCCTCCATAACGAATGACTGCATCCCCGGTCCTTCAAACTCAAACCCTACATACATCCTATCCCCGGAGTCTGAATATAGAAGCCTACATTCGAATTATAGTATTATATCGGGCCCCACAACCCTATTCAAATCATTAAGGCCCCTACGTTAACATTGACTAGAAAGGCTGGGCCACGAGCCTGGAATCCTCCTTGAATGCAGGATTCGCAACAAGCACTAAGTACGCCTTCCACCCTCTGTAACTCAAACCCTAAACCCTAAACCTGAACCCCTAAACTCGAAACCCTGAACCCTAAACCCTAAACCCTGAACCCTAAACCCTAAACCCTGAACCCTAAACCCTAAACCCTGAACCCTAAACCCTCAACCCGAAACCCTGAACATCAACTACTCCGAAGGCGGAAACTCTCCGTCCTTCCTGGACCCGAAAGTATAGCTCATGAAGAAAGCCTCATATTGAAGTAGTTGGGTTTTTTTTGAAGTGCAATGCGTGGGGTTTAGTATCCAGGGTTTCTGCAACCCCTCAAAACACCACGATGAGACCACTCCTGAAACCCTGCTGCACCCTGAAAGAACCCCCATTAAAGCCCACCGACTGCACCTCGGACAGCGTAGGCACTTCCTGAAGATCAGCAGACAAGCGTCGAAACAAATGGCTTGAGCTTCCAGCCAGGATTTAGGCCTGTTCTTGACTAAAGGTTTCCGTTAGGGTTTAGGGTTTAGGGTTTAGGGTTTAGGGTTTAGGGTTTAGGGCGGTGAAGTAGATCAAATACAGTGGTCACGTCTGCTCAGTCGGGGGTGTCTCCAGTTTCAGGTCTGCCCTGCTTTCCTGCGAGCTCGCTCCTCAGACATGGCAGTATAAAGCTTCTTCTAGAGCGATTTAGGGCTTACCTGGACCCCCAAAAGTATGTAGAATAATCAGCTTTTATGGGCCTTGGGCCAGTATTTTTTGCATACTTTTGGGGGTTGAGGTTGGGTTTTGGGTTTCGGAATTTCTCATCTCCTCAGCGCGTGCGTGGCCTCTCTCTTTGATACCGGTACTTTCCTGTCGGACCAATGCTCGCAGACTTACGAAAAGGAAGAGTCGTTATTTAGGGCTCAGGGTTTAGGGTTTAGGGTTTAGGGGTTTTGGGGTTTGGGGGTCTAGGGTTTAGGGTTTAGGGGTTTAGGGGCTTAGGGGTTTGGAGGTTTAGGGGTTTAGGGGTTTAGGGTTGGTGAGTTTAGAGGCTTAGGGTTTAGGGGTACATGGCAGCAGCCTGCCAGTTGTGTCAGAAAGCGGCATGTGCTTGAAGGACACTACAGGTGGGAGTTTAGGGTATTATAGGGCTTCTATAAGGCTTCTATACGGTATATAGACCTTCCATACGGCTTCTATAATGGTAACTACCCACCTGAAAGTGTCCTAGATTCAGGACGAATCAGCCCGAAACTGGCCATTGCTATGTGGTCCCAAGCCCCAAGCACTTTTACCATCCAAAACACCACAGGATCAAAGTCAAACAACCGCCGAGGCTGAAAGTCTGAAGGTTGGGGTTGGGAGTACGGCATCCCCGACCCAAACCTACAGCCGCAGAAGGCAACGAAGTCTACAGCACAAATCCTACAGCGAATTGCACGAATCGAGAAGACCAGAATTTCCAAAGTAGGATATACACAGCGACAGGCACATTCTGACCCAACCATTGTACGTTGTAGGTGTATACCCTGAACCCTAGCCGCCAAACGCTCAACCGCATCAACGACGAAATCCCAAATCGTGGAGGTTCCTAGCTTGCTTGAAGGCTCGACACATATCTTCCCTCTCAACGACTCAAGCCCGAAACTCAAGGAACAACCCTCCCTGTAACCTCCAAAAGTGTGCCCACAAAACAACACCTCCCACTAAACACCCAAACCAATTTTAACCCCAAATCCCTAACCAAACGTAAACACAACCCTGAACAACCTTACCATAACCTGTACCCAAACCTAGACCGTGAAGAACCTACCCTGTTAAGGACTCATATGGGTGGTTGTCAAAATTATGGTCCCTTTTTGGGTACCCTAAATAATAGGTGCCGTATTATAATATGGACCCAAAAAGGGACCATAATTTTGACAGCCTAATATGAATATATGGATGAAACTAAGGAGCACTTAGACGGTAGGTTCCTTAGGGCCCAGGCAGTCCCAAGCCCCTGGACCCTAAAGAACCTCACCAGAACCTTAACCCAAAGCCCCTAAACCCTAAACCTTAAACCCTGAATCCTAAACCTCAAACCCTAAACCCGAACCCCCAAAGTCCCTAAACCCGAAACCCTAAACCCTAAACCTTAAACCCTAAACCCGAAGCCCTAAAACCTAAACCCAAAAAACCCTAAACCCTAAACCCAAAAACCCTAAACCCCAAACCTTAATCCCTAAACCCGCAACCCCTGAGCGTTAAACCCTAAATCCTAAACCCTTATACCCCTAAGTCCCTAAACCCTAAGCCCGAAAACCTTAAACCCTAAACCCTAAACCCTTATAACCCAAAGCCCCCAAACATCCCTGAACCCCAAGGCGACGACCATGAGGTCGGTGCCATCGTCTGCACGGCGGGTGATCCTCGCCTTGGGTTGAGGTATGGTTTCGGGTTTAAAGTTTAGGGCTTAGAGTGTAGGGTTTAGGGGTTTAGGGTTTGAGGGTTTTGAAGTTTAGGGTTTAGGGGATTAGGGGATTAAGGTTTAAAGTTGAGGGCTTAGAGCCTAGGGTTTAAGGTTTCTTTAAAGGGCCTTTTCTGTTGCATGCGCGGGTTTGAGGGTTTGAATTTGAGGGTTTTTGGGGGATTAGGGTTTCAGAAAGGGTTTAGGGTGTAAAGTTTAGGGTTTAGAGTTTAGGGTTTAGAGTTTAGGGTTTAGGGGTTTAGGGTTTGGGGGTTTGCAGTTTATAGGGTTTA